GATCTGTGGGGACCTCTACTACAAATTACAGCAGAAGGCTTGCAATTACTTAGAGAAAGAAGCTGCATGTTTATGTTTGAGTCGAAAGAAGCATCTCAGTACCATTCACACTCAGTATTCAGCACAGTGATATTGCAGTGCTGGGCCAGCGGGGCAAAGGCCAGGCTCTCTGGAATTGTAGCACTCTAAAGTGTCTCTGCACACTGTGAGACATGACCAGGCTCATCAGTCTGGGATCCCCAGGACCCCCAAGCAGAACAGACCTGGCAGCAAGTCTCAGGGGCAGAGCTCCAGGCTGCACTAGACAAGAAGCAGCTTCTGGCTGCAAAGTCTGTGTTCTGAGCAGAGAGAAGGTACAGAAGGAGAGGCTCTGGGTAGAGAGGTGTGATGCTGCACAAGCCCCCCTGCCTGCCCCATCTCCGTGCCCCTCTCCACTTCTCAGGTTTCGCTGAGGCTTCTCCCTCCTACTAATCTCCACAACAAAAACCATATTCCAGCCCTGGTGACTGACTAACAATAATGGGATCTATATTACTATGATCATGACTCTTCTTCTTGCTAGTTAACTGCTTAAGCAAACATGCTTTACTAGAAGGAAATCTAATACTCCTCTTGAGTCTTTCTCCCCTCTTCCCTCAAATTGCCCAAGCACCCTGGAGGTTTGGTCCAAGCAAAGTTGACCGAAGTGGAAGGAGAAGTGGTGTCTTTGGGGCCATTGGTGGCCTCTCATCACCACCACATAGTGTTGCTGACGAATACTGGCCCCGAGCCACGAGACCTACACTTGTCTGCTCTGAGCACAGCCTTGCTGGTCCAGGTTCCTGCAGGGGACTATGAAATAGCACAACAGGGCATCAAGTTATGCTCTCTCAGTTCACGTGTCTACATGTAGCCACAGAAACATAACCACTGATCCCAGGGACAGGTTCCAAAAGATCATTAACACCTCCCGAGTGCTATTCTGTACACAAGCCAACCCTTTCCATGATTGCCAAAGCCCTTGTCTTCAACCTGGGCCACAAGTGTGTGTTTTAAAATACAGTGTATTCGTTAAAAATTCCAAGTAGAGTAAGGCCAACAGATCACAAGATGAGTATTGTTGAAAAGAAAATTTGTTACTCAAGGTTCCCAGGAGGAGAGGCCACCTGGGGAAGTACCAGGGCTGGTCAGAGGCAGAGGGGGCAGGGGACTGTGGGCAAGAGACTTTATTGTGGTTTCTGCAGGAAGGAACAGGTAAGGCAGGGCACACAGGCTTAGGATTGGCTGGTTTGAACAATTTCAGAGGGCTGTGGGCTGTAGCGGCTGACCCTAGTTGTCTGAAGTGACTATGGCAGGTGGAGAGCGTCCCAGAGTATGAGAACCTATGAGAAAAAAAATGTGGCTAGGAGTATGAGCTCTGGTTTGGTTGATTTGCGTTTGAAAAGCATGCTCATGGGAAAATGATTGACACTCTCTAGAAATCAGCAAACCCTGGGACAGCAGTCTCCCCAAGGTCAGCAAGGCCCCAGATGTCAAAGCACCAGCACAGAGACCATAAAATGCATGGTTACCATACCATGTTCATGTTTTCTTTACTTAAGGTTGTTTTACACCTGGGGCCTTATTTTCTCTTCCTGTCACTGGACACAGTTCAGGCCTTCCCTGTCCACTATCTCCCTGACATTGAGACTCAAAAATCAGGACTTGGCCAGGCACAGTGACTCATGCCTGTAATCCCAGCACTTTGGGAGGCCAAGGCTGGTGGATCACAAGTTCAAGAGCTCAAGACCATCCTGACCAACATGGTGAAGCCCTGTCTCTACTAAAAATACAAAAATTCGCTGGGCATAGTGGTGCACGCCTGTAGTCCTAGCTACTCAGGAGGCTGAGGCAGGAGAATCACTTGAACCTGGGAGGTGGAGGTTGCAGTGAGCCGAGATTGTGCCACTGCACTCCAGCCTGGTGACAGAGCAAGACTCTGTCTCAAAAAAAAAATAAATAAATAAACAGGGCTTGAGTCTATTCCATTTTGCAAAGGTCTTGGGTTCCTTGATCTCTTAAATGGTCATCTCTCATACTAAAAGGTAAACTAGATTTTGCTAATGTCCTTGAGAAATTAAAGCTCCTATATATACCTTTACTGCAGTCCAAATTTTAAAAAAGATTTTTTTTTTAATTTTTTGATCACCTGTCAAGCACTGCTCCAGCACATTCATTTCTCTTTATAGTATTGGGCCAGACATAGATCTAAACTGTTCCTTTCACACAGCTATGCCAGACCAGCATTTAAAAAATAAACTTTGCTGAATACCAAGGGAAAATATTTAGTTAATTTTACTTCTACTTTAAAAAGCATCATTTTATGATACATCATCTAATTTTAACTATCTTTACAAAAACCATGAGATATGCAATATCATTATCCAAACTTTACAGAAAAAAAACAAAAAAACAAAAAAAAACTGAGCTTAGAGAGGTAAAGTTACTGACCAAAAGTCACCTAGCAGTTGGTTAGTATAACAATCAGGTCAAAGACCCAAGTTTTTATCCAACCAGCCTTCTTTTCATTAATCCACTGCTCAGAAAACACAAATAGGGCAAAACAGTTGTTTGCAGGGAACATATTTCTGATACACTCTCATTTACCTCAAAGGATTAAAAAGGCATAATAATTAGAACAACTCATTGGAGCATTGTGCACAATGCCAAAGATTTGGAATCAACCTAAGTGTCCATCAATGGATAAAATGTATAAAGAAAATATGATATATACATACAGTGTAATATTATTCAGCCCTTTAGAAGAAGAAATCCTGTCATTCATGACAACATGGATGAACCTGAAGGACAGAATGTTAAGTGAAATAAGCCAGGCACAGAAAGACAGATACTGCATGATCTCACTTATATGAAGAATCTAACAGTAGAACTCATAGAAGTAGAGAGGAAAATGGTGATTGCCAGGGGCCAGCATGGGGTGCAGGAGAGAGGTGTGATTAGAGAGACACTGGTCAAAGGGTGCAGAGTTTTACTTATGCAGGTTAAATACATTTTGGGCATCTAATGTACAACATGGTGACTGTGGTTAGTTAACAATACTGTATTGCATACTCAAAACTTGCTAAAAGAGTAGATCTTAAGTGTCCTCACCCCTACAAATACACATAAAAAAATAGCAACTATGTGAGAGGTGAATATGTTAATTAGCTTGCTTGTGGTGATCATTTCACAATGTATGCATGTATCCAAACCTCATGTTGTACACCATAGGTATATGCAATTTATTCATCTATTATACCTCAATAAATCTGGAAACTTAATTAATTAGCAAATTAATTGATTATAAAATTAGGTGAAAGAATTTTGAAGCCAGAGAGATCTGGGTTCCAATACCAGCTCTGCCACTTGCTCGTTACATGACTTTGAGTTGCTTTCTCTGAGCCTCATTTTCCTTACCTATAAAACGAAGCTGATAATAATGATGTCTTCTTATTAGCACTGCTGGGAAGATACATCACGAAAGGCTCTGGCACACAGTGGACATGCCACAATAATGTAATATTATTATTATATACACAAGGTGGATATAACTTCACAGAAGTTCATTTCATTCATTCAACAAATATTTATTGAACATCAATTATGTGTGAGGAACAAGGAAAGAATTTCTAAATTAAAGATACACAGTTTAGAAGGTGGGGACTGACAAATAAATGCAGTAAAGTGTCCTCGGTTGCAGGCCAGAGTGGTGGCTACAGGGGAGAGCCCATTTGTCCCTGAGGGTGTCAGGAAACGCTCCACAGAGGAAGTATGCAGCTTCCAACAGGAGGGCAGGAAGGCAGGAATTAGGTAATAAAATGCCTCCCTTAAATTAATATCTCATTGTTTAAAAGGTAAAGTTCATAACTAAACTGTATTTTTAGATGATAAAACTAGATTGAACGCAGACAAAGTCACCAGGTGTACACAAAACCACCTAAGGTCCACATGAGTTATCACTGCTTCAACTCGTGGTAGGAAACACGCATTTTCAACCAATTTATTTTTTTACCTTGCTCCAAAGACATTAAAACTCAAACTGGTAAGACCACAGACAGCAAAAAAAAAAAAAAAAAAAAAAAATTCATGAAAATGTTGCCAAAGGCACATCAAGAAATATCTGAAAACAAGACAATGCCAAAAGGAAGAAAACTACTCTGTGGGAATCTCACCAAAGTTAGCAACAAGCTACTGGAAAATTCCAAAATGTAGACAAAAGTTATTACAAGCATAAATTATTTGACGAAAACAGCCTCCACAATCCATAAGAGTTATCAAAGAATGAAAAAATGACTGAAAATATTTATTTTTACCAATTATTTTGGCCTGTTTTTTGTTTGCTTTTACTAAATTATTCTTTCTGTCCATTGCATGCTGAGGGGAATCAGAAGAAATAGAATTTGGACAGAGATACCAAGAGTCAGTGGGGAAGGACGATGGTGAGAGGAGAAGCAGAGGAAAAGAAAAAAGAAATAGACACATGTTTACAATGTTAAAAGTGAAGCAAAACTTAGAATACATTCCATACAAACCCACATACACACATAGGCTAACTTATTTTGTGATAGAAGCCAGGTCTCTCATTCTGTACTTTCCTCTTGGAGTGCTGTGTGGTCTGCAGTACACTTTTCTTTCCATTTTCACCCGACATTTAAGTGGAGACAACTCTCCCATCTCTGCTGCTAAGAGACAATCCACCTCTCATATGAGGTTGTCTAGGCACACACTGTTCGAACACAACTGAGGGTCCGAGGCAGTCAGGGCGCTGCGTGCAAACTCACCAGCATGTCAGCCCACAAAATTGAACACCCAGAGAAGCTCAGGGCTGACTCCAAAAGAGCCAAAAAGACTTCCTCCCCAAAATACCTTCTTGCCCCCACCCTGCTGTCCGGAGCTGCGCGCCCCGGCCATAGCGAGTAATAATTGACGATTGACGCCTGAGCTCTATACATTTCCACTCTATACCTCCTCCCTAGATTTACCTTCTTCCCTGTACTAACATCCCATAAAAGATGGCGCTCTTCCTGCTTCTTCTTCACCCATTTTTCCCGCGCCCGCGAAAATCACTATCTGACAGCGCAGGCGCAACATGACGTCCGACCCAAGAAACCGAAACCTACCTGGCCACGCCCACCGCGGAGAGATCATCACCGCCTTGGCCCAACCCCTGCCCCTCCTAATGTATATAAGGCATTGTATTGCCGCCAATAAACGAGACTTGATCAGGACACTGTCTTGTCTCCATTTGTCGTGTCTCTTCCTCCCCAAATTCCCACCCCCTCTTCCAGGGCCTACATTGACGATCCCGCGGGACGGGACACCCTGCTTTTTTTTTTTTTTTTTTTAAAGACAGATTCTCATTCTGTTGCCCAGGCTGGGATGCAGTAGAGTGATTATAGCTCACTGCAGCTTTGAACTCCAGGGCTCAAGGGATCCTCCTGACTCAGCCTCTCACATACCTGGGAGTACAAGTGAACCCTTCCACACACAGCAGATTTTTTACATTTTTTGTAGAGATGGTGTCTCACTATGTTGCTCAGGCTGGTCTCAAAGTCCTGGCCTCCAGCAATCTTCCCATCTCCCACATGCTGAAATTACAGGCTTGAGCCACTGCACCCTGCCCTGCTCCATTTATATATGGCAACTCCCACTGTTAAAAATATGCTAACAAAGAACAAGCGAAATGTGGCAAGATCGCATTTTCACTTCCTTGCGTTTCACAAATCGACTACAACCAGCTAAGTGGGACCTCAGAAAAAAACATGGGTATCACTGTCTGTCCTGCAGCAAGGGCCAACCTTAGCCCATTCATTTGTCCAACAAGTGTGTGTTGAGCACCTACTGCATGCCAAGCCCTGGGTCAAGAGCACCGAAGACTATGAGCCTTTGAACAAAAGAGACTGGGTCCATGGGGAAGGCAGGTGACAGCTGACCTCATGGGAAGGTGCTGCTGAGAGCCAGCCCAGGGGAGATTCCAGTGCACAGATGGGCTCTACCCCACATGGGGGTGAGGAGAGTCTTTTTAAAGAGGAGGGGTCAGGAAGCAGGGGACAAACGGCAGCTTGTTCCCCAAGACTGGAGCCAAAAGCCTGTTGTGAGGCCGTTGCAGTGACGCAGTTGGGAGACAGACCATCAGAGCCCCAGCTGCAGCAATGGCTCTGGGAAGAGATTTAAAACACATTATGGGCAGGGAGAAGTAGCAGAGCTTGTGGCAGCCCCCAGGCCACAAACGGAAAAGACCATTCCAAATATTTAGGGTATCAAAGATTTAACCAACTCAGAATTTAGGGACAATTATCGATTTGCGGCTTGATTTGAACCAGGTTCATCTGCACATCTGGGGCCTCTGCTGAGACAGGCTGCTGTCTGCACACGGTTTCTCTTCCTCAAGGAGGCCAGCCTGGAGATAATCTCAATGGAGATTATTGACAGATAACAATTTTCTCTACCTTGTTCAGGAGGCAACAGCATTGCAAGAGGGGAAGAAGGAAGCTGCAATGCCTCTTGAAACCCCAGCTCAAGACACAAAACACACCATTCCTGTGCTGTATTCTGTCAGTCTCAGTGGTCACAGGGCCAGCCCAGATGGAGAGGTGGACCAAGAGGCTCCATCTGTTCATAGGAGGAATGGCAAAGAATTTATGATCATTTTTAATCATCAGTCAGGATTCAGTAAGGATCTGCAGGTCCTGAGCCACCCACTCTGCAGCTGACTTTCCCTCAAAGATACTCAGCTTCCCCCGTGTTTTCACCACTCAGGTGTGCTGTGACCAGGTTGCCTGTATCGCTAATGCCTGCCCCAGTTCAGAACTCCCCCAGACCTCGAAATGCCAGTTTGCCAGTGAGCCAGTGACTCTAGACCCCTCCTAAGGCTAGTTGAATAGGAGAGCAAAACCTTTGCATTCTGTCTGGCCACCAATCCAAGCCCTAATCTGCGTTATTGCTTGGTAGCCTCTTGATTCATTCCCTCTGTTACCCCAAAAAACCAGGGTTCATTTGTCTGGCAAGTAACAAATGCCTCCTTAAGAGAATGCAGGGTTTTTTTTTTTTTAATCAATTGTTCGTTTGTTTGTTTATTTGAAAGGAGGTCTCATTCTGTCACCCAGGTTAGAGTGCAGTGGTGCAAACTGGTTCACTGCAGCCTTGACCTCCTAGACTCAAGTAATTCTCTCACCTTGGCCTCCAAAAGTGCTGGAATAACAGGCATGAGCCACTGCCCCTGGCCCCATAAGATAATCATTACTTGGTACAAGTAAGGAGTATAAACCAAAAAGCGTCTGAGACAGGTCTCAATCCATTTGGAAGTTTATTTTGCCAAGGTTAAGGACACACCCATGACACAGCCTCGGGAGGTTCTCAGAACATGTACTCTAGGTGGTCTGGCTGCAGCTTGATTTTAGGGAGACATAAGATATCAGTCAAGACTTGGTTTGGTCAGGAAAGGTGGAACAACTCTAAGCAGAGGCTTTCAGGTCATAGGTGGACTCAAAGATTTTCTGATGGACAGTTGGTTAAAAGAGTGTGTCAAAAGACCTAGAATCAACAGAAGGGAGTGTCTGGATTAAGATAAGGGGTTGTGGAGACCAAAGTTCTTATTTTGCAGATGGGGCTTCTAGGTAGCAGGCCTCAGAAAGAATAGATGGTAAATGTTCCTTATCAGACTTAAAAAGGTACCAGACTCTTCATTTTGCTTCTGGGTCAGGAAAAAGACCTGGAAAGGGAAGGGCATTCTTTGCAGAATATAGATTTTCCCCCACAAAAGATAGTTTTGCAGGGGCATTTCAAAATATATCAAAAAATATATTTTGGGGTAAGATACTTTGATTTCTTTCAGGGACTACTATTTGTCATGTTGGTTTCTAATTGCTATAGAGTCTCCTTTGTCAGTCTTAAAGTCTCTGTTTTAATGTTAATGCTGGACAGTTGGACCTAAATTCCAAAGAGGAGAGTATAATGAGGCAAGTCCAATCACGCATCCCCATCACAGCCTCAACTAGTGTTTCAGGTTAACTTTGGAATACCCTTGACCAAGAGGGGTCCATCCAGTTGGTTGGGGGTGCTTAGAATTTTATTTTTGGTTCACAGGAGGATGCTGGGGTATGCTCCAAGGCAATGTCTCCCAGAGGGAAAGTGACAGGAGGGTCTTATGGGGAGATGGAGATGGGGGAGGGTGTGTCACTGCATGTGGAGGAGGTGTCCCACTGGCACAGCACAGAGAGTCATTGCACCACCACATGTTTCATGTTATGATAATGAAGCTATAGCTCCTCCCTGGAGTGGAGACTTTAGCATGGTGATGAGGAAACTTCACTTAGGTTTGTCTGTAAATTGCTGGACTCTGTCAGGAGCTGGTTTTCACTAAGTAGGTGACTGCATTCCACACTGGGCTTAGAAAGAAACAGACTGCAGGGCAGGAAGCTATGAAACAGGCTGATTGCTCAAATTGATTAAATTTCTATAATTGCTGGAGACCCTCCCTGTCTGCTTATACCTCCTCTACTTTTGATGATGGAAAAAACAAATTCTGCCAAAGTGTATTTAAAGAGGTTTATTCTGAGCCAGTATGAGTGACAGAGGCCTGGACTACACAATCTCAAGAAGTTCTGAGAAAGTGTCCCCAAGGTGGTCAGGTTATGGCCTGGTTTTATACATTACAGGGAGATGGGAATTACAGGTAAAATCATAAATCATTATGTGGAAGACACACTTTGGGTTGGTCCAAAAAGGCAGTACATCTCTAAGCAGAAATTTACAAGTCATAAGTGGGTTTTAGGAAATCTTTAGTTGACAATTGGTTGAAAGAGTTAAGCTATTGTTTAAAGGCTTGAAATTAGGAGAAAGGAATGCCTGAGTTAAGGTAAGGAGGCTGTGGGGGCCAAGGTTCTTATTATGTAGATGAAGCCTCATAGGTGGCGGCCCTCAGAAAGAATGGATGGTAGATGTTTCTTTTCAGACTTTTAAAGGTATCAGACTCAATCTCTCTGAGATCTGGGAAAGACATAGAAAAGGGAAAGATGGCTGCATTAATGGAGATTATTGACAGATAATAATTTTCCCACATGCATCCTCAACCCATTCTATACCATTCCCCATGTCTGCTAGTACCACCCCAGCTCCATCCCCTGACGTTGAGCTTCCCGCTGTACCTGACTTTTTTCTGTGAACTCTTCTCTTAGTCTCAGACTTCATCATAATGTTCCTAGTGTGGATACTTGCAATTATTTTTAACATAACAACCAGGACACCTTGAAGATAAAGGTACTTGTTGACTTGATACAGATACTATAAAGAGAGTCCATTTTTAAAACTCCCCCAAATAATGAGCCATTTTGTAGCTCTTGTAGCCTTATATCCTTTAAGATTTTATCCTTTGGTTGTTGCTGTTTTTTTTTTTTTCTTTTTTAATGTATGCAGCCCTTTCTTCTGTGAGGATGAAATTTAAAGGAACATAAGAAGATTTTGAAAATTTTGTACACTTTGAAGACAAAAAAAATCTAAATATGAGTTCAAAGCTAAGATATTTTAGATTGGAGTCAAGGAAAAAGAGAATTTTCCCTTGCATTTATTTGGCATCATAGCAAATAAGCCATTTCACTGAAGTGAATTTTGCAGTCAATGAAAACATAATCCTTTAAGTACTTATTTAAATCATTTCTAATCAGTTAAGGAAAAAATATATTACCTTTTTTTTCTTAACTGATGTCCTTGAGCCATAGGAAAAATGTATTTTAAATTTAGCCTTTGAATATTTAGGTGAGGTATAGTAATGTTAATTTAATATCTATCCTCCCTGAGTCAGGATCCCGAGAGTGATGGTCAGTAGCCCCCAGATTGTGACAGAGGGATTGATATGGGTGGGCTGTGTCCCCACCCAAATCTTATCTTGAATTGTAGCTCTCATAATCCCCATGTGTCATGGGAGGGACATGGCAGGAGGTAATTGAATCATGGGGGCGAATCTTTCCTGTGCTGTTCTTATGATAGTGAATAAGTCTCACGAAATCTCATGATTTTATAAAGGGCAGTTCCCCTGCACACACTCTTTTTCCTGCCACCATATAAGATGTGACTTTTCTCCTCCGATGCCTGCCGCCATGATTGTGAGGCCTCCCCAGTCAT